GCCCCCGGCAAAGGCTTTGCTGCGGTAGGCGCGAGTCCCTGCCAGAGCTTGTCCCAGGGACTGTCCCACTCGGAACCTGGCCCAGCGCGCGCAATCGGGTATCCGATGAAAGTGACGGTGACCGTGCGGCACCCCCCTCCCAGCATTCCCGTTGCAAAGACGCCGAGGAAGTTGGGAAGCAATTTCTTCCCCCGCCACGGGCCCCCATCGCAAAGCAAACGTTTGCACTCGAGGTGGGCGCAGGAGAGCGTGACGCTCTAATTCTCCTGGGTGCTGGTGGGGAGAGGGGTTGCCTCGTGGTGTTTTCATCTCTGTTGACAGGTTTAAAACTCTTTTCTCCTCGCTTTTAGGATGGTCGTGGGAGCCCCGAAAGCCAACTGGTTGGCGAATAGCTCTGTGGTCAACCCAGGTGCAATATTCAGGTGCAGGATCGGGAGCAACCCCAATGGGACTTGTGAGCAGCTCCAGCTGGGTGAGTTGAATGGTATTTGCACCTGAAGATGTTACATCTTCAATGAAGAACGCCAAGCTTGCTTGCCACTTATAGCTGAATGCAGAAAGTAGCCAGCTGCGACAACTCTCTTATTTAGAAGAAGTGAAGTACACGTCTATATTCCCTTGAATCCTCAACAGTTATAACTGACAAAATAAGAAGCAATAGAATTTCCCCAGAAGCATGGTGAAATACTGGACTGTAATAAATGTTCCTTCCTCCACTATTTTGCAAATAGTTTCAAACCCTTTTAGAGGCTGTTTATTGCAAAACTGAATAACATCACCCAATTTTGATCTGACAAAACAAACCTCCTTCAACTTATACCAGCACTTGCAGTAATACAAGAACCTAGAATGCCCTCTATATGCCTATTTCATATTTTCATGTATCATTTTGGTATTGCATAAATTAGTGTTTATATTTACCTTTCAATAACATAAAAGATCAATGCTCTTATGAATTTAGATTAAATTATTTAAAATATAAGTCCTAAAAATCTATATTTTTTTAAAAGTTGGCTTTTTCTTACCAATAAAAAGGACATAAAACTTTTTTTAAAGTAAATTAAAATGACAGTTCCCATTTTCATATTTATTTTTCTTTCCATGTTTTGCTTTCAGCATCTGATTTCAAGTGCTTGTGTGAATTCAAATTAAATCACTGTTATTTCCCCTCCCAAGAAAGTAGTTCCATCTCCTGAACTGAGGGCAACTGTAACTGAAGTCAGTGGGAACAAGAAAAAGTTTCTAGATTATGTTCTGGAGTTTCTCTCTAAAACATTTCATTTCCCAAGCCATCATGAAGTAACTGGAGTGTTTTTTAAGATGAATTATCAGTGGCATACATGCAAGCATATGTATTCTGCTCTCAGTGTATGATTTTTGTACAGGATGCAACAGTCCTGCTAAAGAACACAGGTTGTGCTGAACACTTTTCGCTATGCTCAGCTCTTCTCCTCCTTGACTACAAAGTTCAGTTCCATGTCCAATTCTGTGTTTGTATCCTGTAATAAGAAACATTTATTCAATTGGTCTGATCTACCTGAGAGATCCTCTCTCCTGTGTCCCTTGTGATCCACTGAAACCATGACACTTAGCCAATGGGGGAGGTTTGGGAGTGTGGGAAATAGTTTTCAAAGGACCTGGTCTATGAGGCTTGTTCCTGCAAGACATTACTTACTGTCAAAAAGAAGTACTGTTTGCTTTAGCTTGCCTTTCCTTTCACTGTTCCTACATGTAAGCCAACATCTTCACACTGTCCCAAAACAACAGATTAATTAACTAAACCTATTTTCTTATACGCGGGGGGAGGGGGGGGAGTAAATTTTAAATAGGGGGAGGGGTGCTCCATTATTATGTTGATTGACCTATATAAGTAGGTATGTGAGAGGGTGAGAGAAAAGAGAATGAGTTTTTATTTGAACAATAAAACATGCCTTCTTCACACTGATCCAGTGGATAGACGATGAGCCTAGACAATTTCAAACTAGAAATAAGGCACACCTTTTGAACGAGGTGGGTTATTAACTATTGGAACAGTTTGCCAAGATGTCTAGTCTGTTCTCCATTACTAACAATTTTTGAAACAAAATTGGAGGTTTTCATTAAAACTTTAGGCATTATTTTAGGAGGTTTTATGTCCTGTGTTACACAGACTAGATGATCACAATCGTTCCTTCTGGCCTTGGGAATCTGTGAATATGTGCATTTGTAAGTGATTCTCTTTCTTGGGAGTTTGGCAGTGAAAGTGGATGAAGTAAAAATACAGTAGATACTCAAGGATATGGCTCTCTAAATTAACGTAAAAACTTACACAATGAATAGTCTTGCAGCATCTTAAAGACTAACAAAATATGTAGATGGTGTCTTGAGCTTTCTTGGGCACAACCAACTTCTTCCCTCAAACCTTTAAATTAAAGTAGATTGGGGTTAAAGCAACTGAGGAACCTCTGGAAGCAAGAATGTTAGTTTTGGCTGTGGTTATTGCACTTTTCTTTTTGGATCATCCTCTTCATTTATATGTCAATCCTAAATTGACGTTGTGACTCTGTGAGGTAGACTGAAGTGACACATGGAGCTACATAAGGTAGACAAAGAAATATGTAAAGAATTTCTATGATCTGATGGTAGCAACAGTAAAATGAAATCCCTGCTTCAGATGTTCTTTCTAGGTAAAGTGGACAGGCACCTACTTTATGCCAGAATGATATTTAGCTAGGAAAGCCCACTACTTCCTTTGGGTATGTCTACACTACCCCGCTAGTTCGAACTAGCGGGGTAGTGTAGACATACCCAAAGGAAGTAGTGGGCTTTCCTAGCTAAATATCATTCTGGCATAAAGTAGGTGCCTGTCCACTTTACCTAGAAAGAACATCTGAAGCAGGGATTTCATTTTACTGTTGCTACCATCAGATCATAGAAATTCTTTACATATTTCTTTGTCTACCTTATGTAGCTCCATGTGTCACTTCAGTCTACCTCACAGAGTCACAACGTCAATTTAGGATTGACATATAAATGAAGAGGATGATCCAAAAAGAAAAGTGCAATAACCACAGCCAAAACTAACATTCTTGCTTCCAGAGGTTCCTCAGTTGCTTTAACCCCAATCCCCTAATGCACTCCTATGTTCACTGATAGAATGGAAAATGCTCATAGCCACTGGCCATGTGGCTTATGTGGATATTAACTTCTACATGCTGTTTAGTGTTTGTTCCTTTGCAGGATTTCTTGATTTTACTTTTACTAATTTTGTCAATAAAGAAGAAGCAAGGAAGAATGAGTCCTTAATTGTATTCCATGAAATCACTACCGATTTTCTTCATAGCTAACATGTTTCTGAATAGAAACTGGGGAGTAGCTCAGCAATTACAAGCTTGAAACTTGCCAAAAGCTATTCTTAAATGGATTTGGAGAATTTTTACCAGCAGATGTAGAGGCTGTAGGTAAACACTGTTGTTTTCAGACTTGTATTGCACTTCATTGAATGCTTATATCACAATATAAACACAACTTACCACATGCCACTTTGTTATTGGCATATATTACCTATATTATGTCAATTTACACCCACTGCAATAACTAATGTGGTGTTTAATATCCACACTCTCCTACAGTCAGTGGTGCATAACTGCAGCAGGAGCTCTTTCACTGACCTAAGAGAGGCAGGATGGGGAGTTGAGAGCCTGGTCTTTCAGCTCTGCTCACAGCACAGTGCTAGAAGTATGGCTTGCCTCCTCCAATGCTCTGCTGTCCATTCTTTGCTCCCCCTGGAGCCTGGCAGGTCTATTTCCCACTCTTGGCTGCATGCTCCCTGCCAGCAGCAGGGCAGCTGTCCAGGATCTCATTGGGGAACTGGGAGCCTGGGCAGGGAATTGAGATCCCAGGAGTAGCCAGGCTCTGAGCAGGGAATCTGAACTCTTGGCTGGAAGTGTGGAGGACTTTCCTGTAAATTTGGGCAGCTGGCTGTCAATTTCATGGCTCCATGTAAGTAACATAGTGTCCATACGGACACTGTGTCACCCTAACTATATTGACATAAGCTCCGCACCTCTCAGGGAGGTGGAGTTATGTCAGTTTAGGGCACTTACATCAATGGGAGCAAGTGGTAGTGTATATACTGCCATAGGTTGAAATACACAGTTTTATGTTAACCTAACTGTGTATTTTAGACCAAGGCTAATTTAGCACTCAGAGAAACAAACAGCACTTTTTTTTTTTAAATTAAACTGGGCCATTTCCCCATAACACTAAAGTGGTTCTAAATCATTTCCCATGTTAAAAAAAATCCAAGTTATGTCAAAGAGCAGTCCCACCATAAAAAAATGAGTGAAAACCAGTCATGTTTATTGGGGACGGGAGAAGTTAAATAAGATGCAGCTCGGGCTCCTGAATTCATTGTTCCTTTTTAAATATCTCTGACAATGAGTCGGGAACAAAATTAGACAAAGGATAACGAATTCTAATTTATGTAGATATTTATTTTCTAATGTGGCAGTTTTTGTACCTACAACATCTTTCTATGACTGAACTCCTTGTTTTTCATAGTTAGTCCTTTTTTTGTATTGCATGTTCTGGTGCTGCACCTGTGAGCACTGGTGGTTATTTACTTCGAAAATTATTTTTTTCAATAGGAGGAGGAATGGCCATTTTTATAGAGTCAAAGAATACTAGAACTAAAAGGGACCTCAAGCGATCATCAAATCCAGTACCATGTCTTCATGGCAGGACCAAGCACCATCTAGATCAGTGGTCTCCAACCTTTTTAAGCACAAGATCAACTTTTGAATTTGTCAGTCCAGGGTGTACCTCAAACCCAAATGCCCCTGCCCTGACCTTCACCGAGGTCCCGCCCTCCTCACTCTGGTAAGATGGAGTACAGGGGAGGGAGACAGAGTGACATTAGCGTCCCCCTGCCTCTGTCTCCCCCACTCTGCACCACAAGCAGCAGGCTTCCAGGGGCAGCTCTGGGCAGGAGCAGCAGGGGAGTGGGGGAAGGGACAAGTGAAGTGATCTACTGGTTGGTGACCACTGATCTAGATCATCCTTGATAGATGTCTGTCCAACCTGTACTTACATATCTCTAGTGATGGAGATTTCACAACCTCCTTAGACAATTTATTCCAGTGTGCAACCGCCCTGACACTTAGGAAGTTTTTCCTAATGTCCAACCTAAACCTCCCTTGCTGCAGTTTAAGCCCATTGCTTCTTGTCCTATCATCAGAGGCCAAGGAGAACAATTTTTCTCTCTCTTCCTTCTGACACCATTTTAGGTACTTGAAAACTGCTCTCATGTCCCCCCCTCTCAGTCTTCTCTTTTCTAAACTAGACAAGCCCAATTCTTTCAGTCTTCCCTCGTAGGTCATATTTTTTAGGCCTTTAATCATTTTTGTTGCTCTTCTCTGGACCTTCTTCAGTTTTTCCACATCTTTCTTGAAATGTGGTGCTCACAACAGGACGCAATACTCCAACTGTGCC